AAAGATTTAGATTTTTTGAGAAGTGTTCTAATTCATATAAAATGTGAGAAAGTTATAAAATTATATAGAAATTCTGAAAAATTATATGAAAAATTCTGAGAAAAATTTTCACCAGGGTTATTATCAAGTTTCATCTTTTCATTTCATTTGAACATATTTGCAATAGACCAACCATCCGTACATGGGTTCTTCGGTAATGATGGTTCCTTCTGCAGCCATGTTCGGCATGCCATATGCCCCGGTCAATGTTTATACAGCACCTCCGCCTATTGTTACACCAACGGTTACACCAAGTTCTTTGCCAAATGCTGAGGTCGAGTTGAAACAGGTACTTAGTATATACTTCTATTCTAATTTTGTTTGATATTTTTTTCGTTATATACACATAATGCCTATATTTTACAGATCGCAGAAATGTTTCCGAATGTTGACAAGGAAGTCATCAAATCGGTATATGATGCCAATCACGGCAAAAAAGACGTTACAATTAATTCGTTGCTTCAAATGTGCGAATAAGTCCTAATTTTTTACACAGTTAGAAATGCCATACGTAACTTTATCGTATTCTTTATTATAATGGATATTTCTTTGAAATGTAAGATGATGTACGAAAATCTAATTTGTAATACTTCCATACGTAATATATATTAAGGTCCAAGTATTCTTTGAATATGTGAAACGAACTATTTCTCTTCTGAAGAAACGTATTATATTTTAATGAATATAACATTGAATTATTTTTAGTCAATTTTGTTATATATGTTATTGTTATTTCAGAGTTTATCTTTTTCCTCGTAATTCCATATACATAAATATTTATTTTTTAATTACATTATATATTACGTGATACATGATTTATTTGTCTCTGTATATAATTTAAATACATGCGCGTTCTACAAAATTGTAAAAAGATATACGCTTGATTGATAAAATGTTGCACATAAAATTGTAATAAATATTAAATATAATAATATAATTTGTACAATTTCATTCATATCAAAGGAATAAATTAAACCGAAAATGTTAGGGAATATCGAAAATTTTATACATAAACAGCGATACAGCTATAATTGCAAAAATAATTAATGTTGAATATCTATTTCTTATTGTTGAGTTGCAGGGCATAATATTGGCATTTTTAGATTTACAGGCACATACTTCAATAGTATATCCTTCAGTCTAAAAGCATATTTAAAAAAGTATCATTATAGTATCTTGTACTTTGTCATCAAATGCTCACATTGAATATAATTGTAAGGAAAAACGAAGTTAATTACGCGTTTATTATACATACATGTTTGAGATAACAGCCTGATGTGATCGGTGTAACTTGGTCTTCTGTGACTTTTCCATGGAAATAACTGATGTTCATAACTGCAATAACATTTATGTTTATATTTATATCTATATAAATAATATTCTGATAAATCAATTCTATTTTTTCATTATGAAGTATATTTACCTGCGCCATTGTACATAAATGTATAGCTTACACAAACGTAACCAGGTAGCATTCGTTGTATGTATTGTATATTATTATTTTTATTTATATCCTCCCATAGTTTAGTTACATTTGGCTTTTTATCGTCTGTATAAATATATCAAATCTCATTTAACAATCAAATTTATTGCTGAAAATGAATACGAACGTTATACACTTACGAAAAATCAATGGCTCTATACAAGGAGTAAATGGATGTTCCTCACAGTTTAACTTGTTGACTTCTGCATGGGAAGGGCCTGGCCATGTGAAGTGAAAACAATATGCTTGGATATTTATCGCTATATAAAATACAAAAATAAGAAATTTTGAGAAAACATAAAACCGTTGATTGAAAAAAGTTGATTGAAAAAAGTTGATAAATTGTGAAGAGTCGATTGAAACAGAATGAAATCAACCGTATGTGAATTAAATCAGATTATCAAGTAGCTTTGTAGCATCATTTCTTTATATATATATATATATTA